TTTTTATTTTCTCGTACCCAAAGTTGGAAAATGATGTTTTTTGTGTTGTTGCTAACAAAGAAAATTTTGAAAAACAGAAAAAAAAATTATTTTTCACCTTTTTTTTTCCATTGTAAAATGCTAGAAAATGTTTAGAATCATCAAAGTTAAATAGTAGAAATAAGGTGTAAGTTATTTTTTAGTGTTAAACACTGGAAAATAATCCTGTCCATTAGAGGTTATTTTCTAGTACTTGGTACTAGAAAATACTCTTGTCTAATGGATTCAAGTTATTTTCTAATGCTTGACACTAGAAAATACTCCTATCCAATTGAGTCAAGTTATTTTCTAGCTAGCATTTGGCATTGGAAAATAAGGTTATTAAAAAGTTTAGGAACCAAATGTTCAAGTATCTTTTTTTTTTTTTTTTTTTTTTTAATTCCAAATCCCTCTAATATTATTTCCCAATGCCTAGTGCGCCTATATTTTCCAGCGTCTAGCACTGGAAAATAATTTTATTTGAAGTTTGGAGTTTAACATTTAAGCGTCATTTTTCCTTGTAAAATTTTCAAAATCCCACCCACATTATTTTCCAATGCTAAGTCGTGGAAACTAATATTTATCCATATAAATCCCCAAGTTTCCCTTCCTCAGCATTTTCTCCCATCTTCTTCTTTCTTCTCTTTCATTTTTCTCATCCCTTATCCGAATTCACTTTCTTTTTTCTCCTCTCGTCCTTTACTCCACTCATATATTTCACTTTCCCATTTAATCATCACTTTCCTCTTCCTTTTCCTTTTCCATTTCATCGTCATTTCTTCTACTTTCCCTCTTACTTTTCTCTAGTTCACTTCATTCCTCTTCCTTTAATATGTTACTTGAAATAAGAGGCACTATTCATTTCAATTTATTGGTAGTTTAATTTTTAATTTTCTTTATATTTTTCTGTACCAATAAACTCTCATATATATTCCTAATTAAATTTTTTTACATATATTCCACGTGTTTTTATGAATTATATGGGATTGAGGTATATTTATATATTTAATTTCATTTATTTGGCAATATTTATTAAATTATATGTATTATGTAATGTTTTATATAAGATTGTGTTTATAAAATAAATATATTAAATATAATTGTTTATGTGTAATTAATTTTAATATATTATAAAGTACTGTTTTATTATTAACATTTCATATATTTAATTTCTTTAATTTTAATTATTATATGTGTTGTATATTTATTTAGTG